TCTTATTTATTTGTTTGTTCCCATTAAAATGTCAGCATTTTGAGAGTAGGAACTTCATTAACACTGAATTCCAACATCTTAAAACTGCCTGGAATTCAAATAAATTTGTTGGATAAATACATGGATAGATGGACAAATACATTCGTGGATAAATGGAGAGATGAGTGGATGGATGATTGGTTGGATGAGTGAATAGATAGATGGAATAATAAGTAACATTCATTGAGGGCTGACTATCTTCCAGTAACAGTTTAAGCTATTAACCCATTTGTATGACTTAATGGCCAAATCAATGGGCAAATGTGTTTGTGGAAGGATAAACACACATGTCTGTGCACAATTGGATGTGAGGCTTGCTAGATTGAAAGATGGATGGACATGTGGAAGAATAGACAGACAAATGTATGGATGAAGGTATAAATGGTGTGAACATAGTAGAATATTTGTACAGATGAATAAAATAAGGACAGAAGAATATTTTGAGATAGAAAAACATAGTAAAGAAAGGATAGATAGCTCACTGATTGAGTGGCTGGGCAAATAGACCTACAAATTGATGGGTAAATATATAGATAATAGTAATTAATGTGTAATAAGGGGTTATGATGTTCCAAATGGATGTATGGCTTGCTGGATGCTTTTTCTGTTTCATGCACATTAAAACATTTAGATGGATGGATGGATGGATGGATGGATGGATGGATGGATGGATGGATGGATGGATGGATGGATGGATGGATGGATGGATGGATGGATGGATGGATGGATGGATGGATGGATGGATGGATGGATGGATGGATGGATGGATGGATGGATGGATGGATGGATGGATGGATGGATGGATGGATGGATGGATGGATGGATGGATGGACTGATGGATGGATGAGTGGATGGAGGGATGAATAGATGGATGGATGGATGGGTGAATGGATGGATGGATGGATGGATGGGTGGATGGATGGATGAGTGGATGGAGGGATAGGTGGATACTTGTTCACGGCGAAATGTAAAGAGAGATAAATCAACATGGGTATGTATGTATTGGTGGATGCTTCAATGGATTAAGTAAAAGGACATAATATGCCTATATAGATAATTGAACGCATAGGTATGTTGAGAAATTGATGGATTGGTAAATGGTTCATTGAAAGACAGACATTTACATAGAGAGGATGCATGGATGGATGGAGAGATAAATGGATGGTAGATGGATGGGTTGGATGAATGGATGGGTTGATGGATGGATGCTTGTTCAATGGAGAAATGTGAAGAGAGATGAATGAACATGAATATATATGTATGGGTGGATGTTTGAATGGATTGAATGGAAAGATATGTTTATACAGATAA